TTTCAAGGGGCTTCCCTGGTGGTCCAGAGATTAAGACCCTGCCTTCCAGCACAGGGGATACAGGTTTGATCCCTGATCAGGGAACTAAGATCCCGCATGCCACGGGGTGTGGCAAAAATAGTATGTTTTATTTCAAAAGATTGAAACACATTTTATAATAGCAGGATGCTTGAAATAATGAATATACACCAAAAAACTTATGGTTTGTTCAATTTGGCAATTGTATAGAAGGAATTAGGAATATATAATTATGTACCTTGGTATACTTTAAATCAGATTTTGACAATCTGTTTAAATAAAGAATAAACAAAAACTATAGAATGCAGCAATGTGATACAGTAGAATTGCTTGGCATTTAGGGACATATAAAAGAATATATTTTAAAATATGCATTACCTAGGAATCCCTGGTGATCCAGTTCTTAGAACTTTGCACTTCCACTGCCTAGGGCCCAGATTCAACATCTGGTTGGGGAACTAAGATCCCGCAGTGTGCACAGCACAGCCTAGAAATAAAAATATATATATAAATAAACATTCAATAAAAATGTATGTCTAGAAAAATTCAGTGTGAGTGTAAGATAAAGATATACATAATAAGTATTCATAAAGATACAGATTCTGCATTAATCTCTCAGAACACAAAACTAGAAGTAAAAGCAGAATTGTATTTTCTTAACAGGTAGACATCATCAGTTGAAAAGTGTCATTTGAAGTACAGATCAGTGTGTATTATGGCACACAGTAATTACCAGCCAAGCTGAAAGTTGTCAGGTGTCCAGAAAGTGCGCCACCAGCTTGTGTTTACAGTGTGTAAGTTCCAAACAGATCTTGGCCAGCAGCACTTGACAGGTTACTTGTGCATCGCTGTCTTCTTTTCATAGATCCATTAAAAATCAGCTTTTCTTACTGACTCAGAGTCTCCATTTTGCCTTGATAAGGTCAGTGAACATATGGAGACCCTGGCTTCATCCCTAGAATAAAAAGTTTTTGCAGTTAGCTTGACAAGAGATGCCAGCGTTGTGCAGTTCTGTATCTGTGTGAGATACCTCTAATTGATAATGGCAGTTTCCTGACTAGCCCAGGTCCTGTCTTTCTCATGATGCAGTTCCCGGCAGCCCTTAGTTTTCTTCCAGAGTTGGGCCCTTAAATGAAACCAGTTTACCACCTCTGCTGTTTGCCAGAGTCGTCAGTGTGATGTTGCCCAGTGTGACAGAGTCTGGAGAGCAGAAGGTCTCACCAGGAATGGTTATCTCTGTAACACAGACATTTTTTTTTAGGAAATGGCAGTGGGGACTTTTTTGGAGCACAACAACATAAAACAAGAAGAAAAGCCGTGAGACTGTAAAACGGGCACACTCTTTTAATTTCAGTTAGCCAAAAAGTTTAAGTTTTTTCATACCAACCTAATACAAAATTAGTTTTTTTTCTGGGAGAAAGGAAACAAGAGAAAGGCTTGTTTCAAGGCATAGTTTCAAATAATCAAATAAGTAGACTTCGAAAAGTATTTCATCCATCTGTTTCATTGTTCAGCAGGCAATACAAGTATCCTGTAGTCACTTCTGTAAGATAACTATTCTTGAAGATGTTGTCATGATACTATAATACTTTTAAGTCACACTGGACCTTTGCTGTATGTAGCAGCAAATAGTTTAATGGGGAATGTGCCTCATCAAAATGTCATCAGCAACGTTCTGTATATTCTTTTAAGATGATTATGTTTGATTGCAGTTTACTGAAGTCATGATTGTTATTGTGTTTTATCATCAGTGACTTGAATGGTTTGGCCCTAGGGCTACCAGATTCTCCCACTGATAGACAAAGATGAAAGAAATTAGGCATTTGGAGGAAATAATATTGTCTCGATGTGGCATTAAATACTAAAACAAAAATCAAGTCTTTTGAAGTCTTCCTTAATACTGATTAAAAATACAAGAGTATTCATATCTCTGTGGCTTTTCTGCCATTTTCTCTTGAACTTTCCATTAGGTTACAGTCTCAAAAGAAATGTAGTGTGGAATTTGTCTCCTAAATCAGACTGTCACTCTCTGGGGCCTGTGGAATGGCAGCATGGGAGATCCCATGGGGAGCGACTCACTGCTTATAAATAGTGTTATTAAAACAGCCCTTAACACTGTTCTCTTTTGTTTCTGATTACATAGCATGCCACAGCTGAACTTAAATCCACTGATTTAAGTCTGCTTAGCGCCTCAGCCCTGAGATCTACTTCAGGTCATGCAATAGGCAATAAGTTGTCTCGTAGAAAAAGTTCTTAATTATTAGCTGGAGCTTTGGCCCCAAATCCTGATACCAGGCAAGACTTTGACGGAGAAACTGTTCCCAATCAAGGCTCAGAACCAAGCTGCTTGGGACATGGCCAGTCCATTGAGTGTATAATAAAATGAAGACCAAGAGAGGGTCCCCCCCCCACCTTTGCCTAGTAGCAGGCTGACCAGTACCACCCACCCCAGGGCTTCTCAGATCTGAGCCCAGCTGCTGAATAAGAAATCAAAAGAGGGAGTTTTTCCACTCTATCTAGAATAGAAGGAAGAAAGAAATGCCCCTTTGTGCTTGTGCCTTTTGTCAGAAACGGAAGTAATCTTTGAGGAGCACTTGAGTGCTAGCAGAATCCTTCACAGCGAGCCAGATAATCAGCTGGTAACTCTGGAGGAGGGAGTGGTGTTTGGGATGCGGTGGAGGAGTGTGGTGGCAAGAGTCTCTGACTCTTTAGAATCTTTTAACTGTATGCGGCCTGTTTATAATCAGGGTGTATTCGCATATTATATCTTTAAAAAAGGCGAGTTGAGAACCAGATGTTGCCAAGTAACGCAGAGGAAAGGAAAGTTGTTGTGGCAGAAATACAGGGCCAGCACTGACGTAGTTGTGAACAAGGTCTGACTAGTCACAGAACAGGACTGTCATGCAGCACACTTGTGGCAGGGCCGTGCCCTGGGGTGGGGGAGTGGTCCTGGAGCCGAGCTTGCAGGCGCCTGGCATCCCACCATGAAGACTTCTACCTATTCACAGCACAGGTTGGGGGGGAGCCGTGAAAGGTGAAGTATTTAAGTAATAATAAAGCATAAGAGAAGGGCTCAAAGAAACTTGTGAAAAAGTTCATCCCTACCTGTCACTCACCTTTTTTGTTCTAGTCCTTACTCATGGCACTTTTTTTTTTTTAACCCAGTTGTAATCACAGTGTGTCTATCATTTTCTGTTCCACTGTTTTCCTAATAGTTTTCCCCTGTTACTGTGGAAGATTTTAAGCAAGGGGGAGACGTGATCAGCGTTGTCTCTTAGGAAGTGAGCCCTGGCGATGGTAGAGAAGGCAGAGTTGATGAGAGGAGAATCAAAATGGGGTTCACGAGGTGGCCCATGAGGAGAGAGTTCTAGCCCAGACTTCAGGTCCCCTCTTGAGCCCCACCCCCGGTCCGGTGACAGGCTGCCTGTGCCTCTGGGAGGGCCCACCACTGCCGTCACATTTCACAAGCTCCCTGAGCCCTGGTTTGCCCTGGAGCAGAGCCTCACCTGGTCTCACCGATGGGCAGTGCTGTTTGTGGTTGGCAGCTCCACGCGGCTCATGGGGAGTGGTATCAGCCCTGCACTTCCTTGTGCTTTGCCCTGCTGTCTCCAGGCAGGAGCGGGTGTGATGAGAGAGGTTCTGGAAACGTTTTCTTGAGCAGAACATAATGATCATGACTATGGTGATACACATCCGTTTTAAGCGGGCCGTATAAATCACTCTCAGCCGGGCATGTTAGGAAGGGGGCGGCTCTGCTCAGGGACAGGCTGGATCCTTGCTGCCGCCCCAGCTCATCCGTCGCACTCAGGGCAGGCCAGTCACTCTCTCTGGTGCCGTGTTTCCTCACCTGAAAAGCTGCAGAATTTTCAACCTTTGAAATGTGTACGCTGCCTTTTTAGCAGTGTCTTTTCGCTGAGGATAAAGAAATAATTTTGATCTTTGGTGGTCGGTAGAGTAGTATCCTGGAAGTCACATTTTGTCAGTAATAGCATAGAGGCTGTTGTTAAATATGGTCAGGGGAGCCTGTGACCTGGTTCCCACTGTACACAGCCTTCAGTAAGATCTTTAATTTGATCTTCACGATTGCTTTGATCCGCGTTTGAAAGGCATCGAGCTCAGGTTTCGCTCTTATTTGGCAGACTGGTAAAACTGCAGTCAGGTCAGGCGGACAGCAGGATGGCGGCCTGAGAGAGGCTGTGGCTGCCGCCTTCCCTCCTCCTCTGCCTTCCTTCCCTTCTCCCTTTTTCCTCAAGAGGGGCAGCCCTTACATTGCATGTTAGTGTGGTGATACCACCATAACAGAGTTTAGATGACAGTTAATCTTGCTGTTTTTAGACATTTTAAAACTGTTTGAAGTATTACGTTTGTAAAATCTCATTTTAATATGTTAGTTTCCTTTTTTATTTAAAAATGAGAACTGTTCAGGTCATGGAAAATTTCTACTACTCTGCTAACTCATTTAGAAAAGGCTCTTACATTGATTTCTCTATAATTTTTTTGAAACATAGATATATACTATGTGGTTTCCCAAAAAAAAAAAAGCTATCAGGTGGCCCCTTCCCTGTAATTAACTTGCTATTTTAATAATACAGTATTATATTTGAAGATCATTTCCCCTTAAAGTTGCAGGGCGTTTTATATAATTGAAAGAGTTAGAAGGAAGCAGAGCATTGTAACTTTCTGCCAGATGTTCCACAGTAGTGAAAGCAGACTGATAACAGCGCCAAGAAAAGCCCTCGCTCTGCCTGGAGAAAGCACTACCATATTTGGCCTTCATGAAGTTGCATATTACTTGGCATACAGACACACACACACACACACGTACACATACATAAAGCTTCTTTGGTGACTTCCTGTGTTTGATTTTAATTTTTGAGTAAATGTGGTTTTTTTAAAGGTGGATTTATGTTATATTGGCATATTGTCTATTTAAAAGAAACCACTACTGTCTACTGAAAAAAAACACTATTTTGTTTCCACAGAAACCTGCTAATATTTTAGTTATGGGTGAAGGTCCTGAGCGAGGAAGAGTAAAAATTGGTATGTTATATCTTTGATAAGTCACAGCGTAGCACTCTTTTAAAACTTTTGCAGGCAGCTTTATCACTTCTAATTTTTGCTGTAATAATATGCATTTATTCATATAGTTCCATGTGATCGAAGCCATTTCTAAAGAGTATACATTAAAAGTGAAAAATGTTTCACACTCTCGAAAGGTGTCAGACAATCTTTAGAGACTGAAGTGTTCTAATTATAAAATAAGCCGTGTGAGTTTCTTAGAAATTTTTTGCCTTCATTAAAAATAGCCTGTAGAGGTGAGTGGCTTCTATCCCTGTTAGAAGCCAACCTCGCCTTTAGTCCTAAGGGCGTACAGCAAACTACTAATCATACCATCCGTTCTGTTTCCCTGAGCCAGGTCGATCCGAACATATCCTTCTGTTAGCCTCATCTAGGTCAGGGATTACAAACTAAGAATACCACTGAGGCTGGGTAGGTTCTAACGAGCCTTTGCCTGAAGGGAAAAGAATTAATGAGCTTTCTGTACCTCTGCATGTTTTCTAATAGCTCTGTTTTCTTATGTATCAGTGCAAAATTTTACCCATTTCTGGTCTGATAACCTATAAGGATAGAGCTAGATTTATTTATCCTAACTATTTTTTCATTGTCATTTGCAAGTTGTGTTTGTGACATTTATTTAGTTTGTGTGTGGATAGAAGAAATGTAGTAACCAAATTATCTTAATTTTAAAGCAGCAGGGTTATGGGCGTATATAACAAAATAAATAGGAATTTCTGATTGCCAAATTTAGTATAAATTGGGATTGTCAGCTGATTTGTACCACTTCACCAGCAAAGAAAAACCCAGGTGTTCCCAACCCTTCTTTCTACCCTCCCCTTTAAATCCTTCAATCCCATTTTCTCCTTCTAATTAGACTGAAAATACCCTTGATACAAACTGCAAAATTCTTGACAAACATTTGATGCATCTCAGAATGCTCCTAGTCAATTGGCTTGCTTTAAGAACCAGGCCCTGTCGGTCCTTATGTAGCGTCAGACACCTGTTAGGTTCTTAGGTGTGCATTTAGCAGATTTCATCCAACCAGCGTGGTGGCATCAAATTCAAATGTAAGTTCAAAGCATGCACAGTCTAAAAGACCCAGCCAGACAGTATTTACAGATGTGTTAGCTACTGTAAGACTTGGGGAAAATTTATATATTAAAAATAATTTTGTTTGGAATTATTTCTGTGTCACATATATGATGTTGACAGGCTTGGCGGATATCAATAGCCTAAAGTAGTCACACTTAAGATACATTCTTCTGTAAATCAGTGTTTAGTAATCCGACTCATGGTTTTAGTTCTTTGCCACATTTCTGTGTTGGTTTTTTTAACCTCTATAAGTAGATCAATTAAGGCCTGCTTCATTAAAAATGTGTATTAGAGCAAAATCAAACAAATGGTGGATGAATCTTGAAATTTTTGAATAGGTGGTATGACTAGTGATTGTTCATTCAATGTGTATTTGGCAGCTCTGTGTAATGACACTGTACTTGATGTTCCAAGGGATAGCGAGACAAAAATGTTTTTATCTGTAAGATCATGGTTCGTTAGGACAAACAGCTTTGCCTGAATAACTGCACTACATAGTAAACTGTGCAAAATGCTGTGAACTGTATCTCAGCACAGCTCCAGCTCTGAGATATGAGTTGTTGACATTTGTCAAATCAGTTTCTTCTGCCCTCAGTTTCCTCATTTGAAAAAGGAGGTGATTGAATTATATGATCTTTAAAGTCTTTTCCAACTTAAAAAAAACGAACACAATTCTTTAAAATTAAAGAAAAAACTCAGCCCAAATAAATGGGGGGAAATAGTGGTATTGTCATACTGTACATCAGCTTATACCAGTGAGCATGCTTACTGATGCAGATAACGGGAAGCCTCACCCTAACTGATCTAGTTCCCTGGTACTTGTGACCAGTAAAAAGAATGAACATGTGGCTGGCTGCACAGCCCTGTCCCCCTGGTGGTAAGACATGGAAATAAATCTGCCCGGAGGAGTAGGGTCACCCTGGACCTCAGGCAGCAGAGTGTGTCTGTAACCCAGTGGCAGTAGTTTGCAATGAATGAAGATGTCAACCTTGGCTTATGTTTAGACTTCTGAAAGGGGTGAGATATTTTGTTGGTTTTTCTCCCCGCAGAATTCACGTTTTTCAAAGCTTACTAAATAATAATAGTAAATTAGTCATCAATTATATTTGTAAAAATCAATTTACTAAGCATTGTTGTTGTTACTATTATTTTTTTTTTTTTACAGCTGATATGGGCTTTGCCCGATTATTTAATTCACCTTTGAAGCCTTTAGCAGATTTGGATCCAGTAGTAGTTACATTCTGGTACCGAGCCCCAGAATTACTTCTTGGAGCAAGACATTATACCAAAGCTATTGGTGAGTAGAACTAATTAAAGTTCCATGACATAAATATACATATGTCTGTTTTTTAGGTCAAGTGATACAGAAAATTATATAAGTAAGAGCAAAAACTAACATAAAATTCTACTGTCTAGAAATACCATCGTTGGCATTAGGGATATACCATTCCAGACATCTATTTCTGATAAATAAACAGATGCTAAAAAGATTTTTAAATATATGGGCCCATACTATGAATTCTGAGTAAAAACTATTTTAAGTTTAGGTGAAAAAGAAAAATAAACACAATGAAATTTCTGAATCATTGAACTTCAGACAAATATTTCTTTTGCCTAAAGAAATACTAGCTTCTAAAAGATTTCCCTTAAAATTAGGGATAAGAAGATTATGAAAATAAGTAGGGGCTGAGAACATGGTCATTCACTTTTCAGTTTTTATTAGTATTGATTATCTCCCTGTATGAAGAATTAGGAAATGAGTGCTCTTCTACTTGTTCCCCCACCAGCCTCTCAATTTATAAGCTCTCTTAATAATATCAGTCATTATCATCATCATTATTGTTACCACTTTGTTGATGTTTACATCATTTATTTTCTGTCTGCGAGCCAAAATGCCCACTGTTGTTTATACTTAACTACATATTGTAATGGACTTGATAGTCAGCTACCACAGTCCTTTTATCACAGCTATATCACAATCCTTTTGTGACATCTTTATTCTGCTTCATTTTATTTGGTAGAATTTTATCGTCAAGTAGTTTTTTCTTACATATTTTGTCTTTATTTTTTTTCCTGTTTTTGTATGCCTTTATTGCTTGCTTGTTCTGTGTTCTCCAGAATGGTATTAAACCCATTTTTATTTTATTGAATAACTCATCCCCAACTCTTTTATACTTTGCTCTATTTTGGATTGATTTTCATCTTGCATTTTCCTTTTTTTGTTCATCTGGGTTGGATCTGTTTCTTTCTGGATTCCATTATTTCATCCCTTACTTTGCTGCGGAATGTTCTCAAGTAACCTGTCTTAGAGGTAAATTTTCTAGTTCTGTATTTCTGTAAATAAAGCGTTTGTCATACTTTACAGTTTGGCAGGGACTAAAGTTACAGGTTCAAAGTGATTTTCTCTCAGAGTTTGGTGAGGCTGCTCAACTGTGTTCTGGCATCAGTCTTGCTAATGGAAGGTCTCATGTGGTGGTGGATTCTGTGGGGTTTTGTGTTTCCTGAAAACAGAGGATTTCTCATCCTTGTGTTTCACACTGATTTGCTGACCACCTACAGGCCATTCAGTTCAAAGTTTATATCCTGTGTCGGTGGAAAATTCTCTTGAAGTAGACTTGATTTTCTCTTCTGTGTTTTACTTCTCTCTTTCCAAAGCTGAGTGTAGGCAGATGTCGGATTTCTTGAACTGGTATCCTTTATACCACTTTTCTGCTCGTGTTTTTCTACCTTTCTTGTTCTCTGTGTTTTCTTTGTAGTCACTCTTCATTGATTTGTCTTAGTCTTCCTTTCATGTGGTTAATATTCCTCAACGGTTAGTTGACCCTTGATATCTCTTGCATTTGAGGCTCAGGTTGCAGAGCACCACTTGGGGCCCTAGTGTGCGTGGATCAGAGAGCGCCGAGGCTGGTGGCTTTACTCAGAGTGATCCAGCCGAGAGCGGCCATTGGTGGGGAACCCTGAATGCCAGCACGTGCGAGTCTTTGCTCTGAGGACTTTCAGCTTCTTTATAAGGGAAAAATCCTCCAACCTTCAGCCCAGTCTAGCCTGGTAGTCTCACTGCATTGGGAAGCGGGGTGGGTGGTGGTCCACAGTTCAAAATATAGTGTTTGTATTTGACATTTCCAAGTACAGAATCTTCCCTGAGTTGTGCAGGACACATCTGCTTCCCATCCAACAATAATACTGTGGACTGGGGCCTTGTCTGAACTGTTTCCAGAAATGTTTTTATTTGTATGTCTGCTCAGTCAGGTCTGCACACGTGTCTTCATCCAGGTCTTAGTCACAATTCTCCCTCTTGAGAGAGAACTTCCTTGGTCACACCATCTGCCTTCCCCATCCTGGTAGTTGTATGCAGTGTCTGAAAACCCCTAACTGGGTGGGCCGTGCCCAGCTGTCACTGCTGGGGGCCGTTGCCTGCATGGCCCCGGGTGAGAAGCGGTTCCTTGCCAAGGGATCCCTGATGGTCTCTTTGCATGCTCTGTGTTACTGGGCTTTGCTGTCACTTCAGCGTGTATTCAGAGGGGAAAGGAGCGGTGGTTGTGCTCTTTCCCTCAAAGCAATCTTGAAGTCAATGTGTCTTTTTTCTTAAAACCTTTTATGTTCACTAATCCTTATATCTGCTTTGAGATCACATTTTACTGTATAGAAAAATAAAGGTAGATTATTAGATATGGGACTTTTCTGTGCTATTATTGCAGTCTTTCTGCAAATCTAAAATTATTCCAAAATAAAATATTTTATTTTTTTAAAAAGTCAATTAGAAGGAAAAGGAAAGATTACTGAAGCTAGTCCTGTTTTTCAATATGTATTACTACCTAAGCATACATTTGGTTATCTTTTTTACAAGTGTATTCTAAATGCTTAAGCATGTAAACTAATATACATAGCTTTTTTTTCCACCTAGAAAATGAATATTTAAAAACAGTGCTACTTTTGGTAAGACATATTTAAAGACTATACAAATAAGAAAGTAATTATCAACTTGTAGCTGCTATTAATGGAAAACTTGAGGCTGATTTTTTTTTTTTTTGAGACTGAATTGATATAAATTGAGGAAAAAATAAACTGTCACATAGGTTTGTGACTCTGGCTCATCATTTATCTTTTTCTAGATTCTTAAGAAACCCATTTTTCATTGTAAGCATTGAGATCTGAACAAGCTGTTACCCTCCAGAGCAGTTTAGCAGTTCTAGGTCAGGGCTGTTCATTACAAAGCTGGGCTCACCAGCTATTAGATAGATTCCCTTGTTCAGATGGGTGCATAATTTGGGTAGTAAAAGGCTTTCCTCCTCATTAACATCAAAAGTTATTGGATAACTATTAGGCTTTTTAAAACTTAAGAGAAACCAAAATGAATGTAAATTATGTCATTTACTCTTAAGGGATCTCCATCCATTTGAGAAACAGAATGAATCTGTGTGGAAAATATGTTGCCATCTTTGAGCAGCAGAAGCTTAGCCCTCTGACTTGTTGCCTTAGCTCTGCCACTCTGGGGACGATGTGTCCTTCACAGCCTCGTTTTCTGAAGACAAGGATTTAGCCTAAATCACCTCTTAGGTTCCTTTAACTCTAAACGTTCTGTGCCCTTGGATAGACTCCACTGCCTTCTGGGGTAGGAAGAGCACAGCAGACTAACGTGGGGGCGGGTAACTGATACCAAGGTCCGTGCCAGTCCCCACGAGCATGCCTGGCCTGGCCCAGAGGAGTTCTGGAGAATGCTTTCTTCCAGTGAGGTTTGACAGAAAACAACAAAATTCTGTAAAGCAATTATCCTTTAATAAAAATAAATAAATGAATTTTAGTAATAATAAAAAAAACCTAAAGTGATAACAACTGCATTAAAAAAAAATTGGATCAAAAAAGTAATGATATAGGATCTTAGAGATTGCTTTTTCATTTGAGAGAGAGACAGAAATCATACATAAATCACTTTTATATACATTTTTAAGAATAAAATCCACAGTGAATCCACTGTGAATCTAGTGATCCACTAGAATCTACAAGTGAAAAATGAAACTTCTACCTTGCTCCCAGTCTCTCCTGCACCATTACGTTCCTCCTGCTCCCCAGGTGGGTAGGCTAGGGGTGCAGTGAGGTTCTCAGCTAGGCCTCCAGACCACTGTCAATGCACTTTCCTAGCACTTGGACTTCCTGAAGCAGATAGAGGAACCTTTGTGGTTGAACTTACATATTACTAGCTGAATATGTTCATTTTAGTGACATCACTGAGAAGGCTTAAACCTGCCAGTGGAGTTGGGTGGGTCGTGTTAAGACTAAGGTACTGACAGGCATCAGGAGAGCGTGGGGGAAATCTGAGCACATGAGCCCCCCTGTTCCCAGCCTTGCTGCACATCGGTCTTAGTGCTGTGGTCATTCACTCCCCTGTAGGAGACTGCAAGCCAAGTCATTCAGCCCGAGAGAAAATGATAGATTAGTCAACGGAGATAGGCTCGTTACTCATGGGGACAAAGTTTAACTCAGTTTTGAGTGTTGAGGGTTTTGTTTGATTGACTTTGTGGAGAAGGGTGCAGAAAGGGAATCAGCTCTTTAATTAATTGTTACTAGGGCAGTCTTAAAAGTTTTTCTAAAGTATAAACTTGAGTGAAACGAGGAGAATGAGAATTTACTCTTGCATTAAGGTAGAGGCTTATAATTACTGATTAAAACAAATTTAATATATCCCCCCCCCCCCCATTTGGGTCTGCGTAGCCTGCCAGTTGGTGTCTACTTTGCCTGGTTAGCTCCATAGCTACACACGAGCATTACAGAGTTTGAGAAGTAGATGGGGTTTGTGTGTTTTTAATTTGAAAAGTTTTTCTAGAAGAAATTTGACAGGTGAGCAGGAAGGGACTTTCTTATGAATTCAGCAAAATCTGAAAAAAATAGGCAAGGTAGGAGAGACTTGTTGACAAAGATTCAGAAATTTATCTGAAGTAACAGCCTGATCAGCGAACTCAAATTCATAATTATTGTCTGGGTCAGGATTTGAAGGAGGGAAGGATGGTGAAATTGATAACAGGTGAAAGATAATAGAAAAGACATGAAGAGAGAAGTTATATAGGGTAAAGTTAAACAAGTTTCAGTATTTTTTCTACTTTCTTGACTTTTCTTTTAAAGCAGTGTCGAGTGAGGGTAGTTAAACTGTTTACTTACTATTCATCTTCCTTTGCATGTTTTATTTTCTTTGTTGGAGTTTTTCATTACCAGGCTGAGTTGGTAACAATGTCTCTTGGGTGCCATGAGTAGGGTTTTAAAGATGCACACTGCCCCACAGGCCATCTTGGTGACCCCACTTAGTAGCTTGCCTACTTTCCTCCTTTGGATTGAGACGATCAAAGGTCACCTTTCTGTGGGGTTCCCACATAAAAAGAATAATCACAAAATAATTAACTTTCCCGTTTACTTTCTGACAAAGAAGATATCCTGGCTTATATTTCTTGAGGAGACTTTTTCATGAAGTGGTGTTGGCCTGATTTGGTTCTCTGATGGGGGAGAAAACTGATGAGCAGACTGTCGTTTTTGAAATCACTTGCTTATAGTCTTGCTTGTAATCTTAAAGTAAATAGAGGTTTAACTAGTTATTTTGAAATACAAGTGTGGTAATTTTAGATGAAATATGTATATTCCAGTTTTAGATTTTAGAAATTCCCAGTTATTTATTTATTAACATTTTTTTCCCTCACTTTCTATTTAAGTGACCATTATTAATAGGTCTGAATAATCAGCTTTAATAGTGGTTTTAACTATCCTCCTATAGTTATTTAGGGCTTCCTTTGTGCTTCAGCTGGTAAAGAATCCGCCTGCAATGTGGGAGACCTGGATTTGATCCCTGGGTTGGGACCATCCCCTGGAGAAGGGAAAGGCTACCCACTACAGGCCTGGAGAAGTCCAAGGACTGTAAAGTCCATGGAGTCACGAAGAGTCAGACACAGCTGAGTGACTTTCACTTCACATAGTTTTTATGTTTGCCACAGGTATTAGTTAGATCAGTGAGACACTGTTTACTGTCTGCTGTGTGCACAGCACTGTCCTGAGTGTAAGGAAGTTGCCATTGCTGGTTTAGGGATTTGTTAAGGGTAGAAATGGAGTATCTGCAGCTTCAGATTATAAATTGGCATATTTATCTTTCCTCTACTAATAGTTCTATTGGTAGGAATTTAATATGAATGAAAGTTAGCCTGTATCTTAAAGTAAGTGAAGGAAATTTGTTGTATACAGAGGAATCCCTTTGCCTGGCTTTTAAATAATTCTTATGAAGTTATAGCCTCTGCCTATTGAAAGGTAGTATTTTGCCCCATATTTTCTTATCTTTTAAACACTTAAACTTGCAAAGTCTGACACTGCTATAGCATGAAGAAACCCTTTGAACGAAAAGTCCTTTCAGGAGAAATGCTATTTTGTTAGAATATTTGAGGCCAGGCGTTGTCTTTTTCCTGTTGGAACAGCACCTTGCTAACTAGTTCTAACACAGGAGGATAATTATTAAACTTTACAAGCTAATCAGTCCATAAACTAGATAAAAAATAATATTTTTTACCTCAAAAAATGGTGCTGATTGTATTCAGCAAGTATGCCCAGTTTCCAAGGCTGTTTGAGTTTTCTGTTTGTTTTTTTGTTTGTTTGTTTATTTTATTTATTTATGGTTCCTATGCTCCGTGTGCAGCTTTGTATGTATTTCACAGATAAGGTAACGTTTGAAGCACTTAAACTCACCAAAAATTTTAGGTAATATAAGTTTGATTGAACTTGGACTGAAACCACTGGGTGGGATGGAGGTATAACAAGGAATGAAAAATGGGTGGATGGGGTGGGAATATATATTTACAAACAATATTTTTTATATTTATAATTGCTTAGGATTTAATATGACTTATTAGGGGAGAAAAAGAATGAAAAAACACTCCCTGCCAAGATAAACATGCATTTTCTTTTGGAAAGAACCACTTTATTTTCCTCCTTTCTTTTTCTTTTTTCCTTTCTTTTTTTTTTTCTTTTCTTTTTCTTTTTTTTTTTTTTAAAGATATTTGGGCTATAGGGTGTATATTTGCAGAACTACTAACGTCAGAACCAATATTTCACTGTCGACAAGAGGACATCAAAACTAGTAATCCTTATCACCATGACCAGCTGGACAGAATATTCAATGTAATGGGATTTCCTGCAGGTACACATTATATTTTTGTTTTTATTTTTAAACCACTGTTGTTTGAACTTAGATGTCTACATTGAAAGGATGTGTATTTTTAGCTGATGAAAGCTACTCTTACTCAATTCTCTATATTTATGACTTGCATCAATCAAAGACCCATAGAAATAGCAAAATATGTAGAGTTCACATATTAGCATAAAAATATTTATGGGTTTCTTGAATTTGAGGAGTGTATTTTTGTTTCATTTCAGTTTTTGGTTTTGTTTTGTTTAATATTTAAACTGATAAAATATTTGCAATATCTGCGTTTAAAAAGTGCCTTTAGTTCTCACCATTGGCAACTGAATAGAATTCAGGAGCATGTCTTTTTGTCTGACAGCACTTAATAACAGTGTCATTGTTTGGTATTTGAATGCAGATTTTGAAGACTTTCTACTTGAAACACGTATTGAATCATAGCATTTTTTGCTCTATAACCCTTGTCAGTAAGAACATTCTTTCCAGTTAGAACAGGCAGGATGTGAGTGAAGGCCCAGCCCTGCACAGCGAGCGGGCCTGCTCTGACTGCCACTGAGAGGCGGTTGTTGGGGCGTCTCGTCACGTGCTTTAGAGCTCCAGCCCCAGCCCAGTCCTTGTGCCACAGAACAGAAGTCCATCGCTCTCCTTTTGAAATGCCTGCACAGTTTTGGCTAGTCAAGTACTTATTGCAATAATAATAAGTTTATTATTAATAAATATATTAATTTAAATATCTAACTTATTGAAATAACAGTAAGAAACAATAAGCTGTTTCTTATTAGGAATTTTTCTCAGGTCAGTGGCTCAAAACTAATACAGAAATATCTGGGAGTTATAATTCCACATTCCCTTTAATTATCAGTAAGTGCAACGTACCTACCTTTGTCCAAAATTGATCAATATTTCTACAAAGATTGCTTTGTTGAGTTGGGAGTTTCATTTATCCACTAAATATTTATTGAGCACCTGCCATGTTTCAGGCACTGTGTTAAGTGTAAAATATTGTTGATATAACAGACATGATTCTTGCCCTCTCGGAGTTGACATTGAGCTGCTCTAAGCAGAATGTTGAAAGAATAGGAGTGGTTTGAGTAGATGGAGAAGAATGGCCTTTTCTTCCCACTTCTGAATGCACTCATCATTTCAGGGGTCCCCCGGGGAAGGAGCCTGACTTACAGGGGCTTGGAGGAGGGGCGGCCTCCACAGGAGATGGTTCTGAAATGGTTCTTAGGGTGTGGTTCCACAGTTGGGATCCACTTATAGGGGATCTGAGAACCAGGCAATAAAATTTAGATTTGATGTGCTAAAGAAGGAAAATCTATGATAAGTTCTTGAGAACTAGTGCTGTGGTTTGTGTTCTACCTTAGAAAGGTTTTTATGGCAGGGGTATGTAAAAATTTAAGAGGGGTAACTGAAGTTAGGAAACCAGCAGTACTCCACGTGTAAAGTGTTTTGGATGGAGAAGAAAGGATAATGGTATAATTTTTTAGAGTAAGCCTGTAATTGGAAGAAAAAAATAAAAGATTATCTCAGGATTTCTACTTGAGCAATTGACAGAAATAAAGAAACTGGAACAAGAAAGTAGTCAAGGAGAAAATTCAATTTAGAAGTATATATTTAGTTTACAATAAGTGGTATCTGGAGGCTAGATAGCAGATATTTTTATAAGCCACCTGAGAGAGAAGCTAACCTCTGGAGGTCATTTAAAAGATAAGGTCCCCTGAAGCTACCTGGTAGAATGTGGGCACCTGTGGACTCTCAGTGACGCCCCCTAATGGGGACAGCAGGCTTCTCAAACCGTGTGTGGTGTTTGAATAATTCTAATGCCAGCAAAAGTGACCAAGACATTTCCGCCTGATGGGCCCGGTAGCTGAGGTTGCTTTTGTTACTATTATTGAAACTAGCCCAGGTACTAGCTGACTTGTTCATATGCTCGTACATCCTACTCTGTGTTTCAGACAGCTGTAACTGCTTACCTTGATTACCACATAAGGCAGCGTATTTAATAAGGGGAGTATAAGGAGGGCCATATAAAAAGGACAGCTTACAGCTGCTGAAGGGGAAGATAGTGCATTTATTGTTGAAAAGATTGGTTGCTGGATTAACCAAGACAAGGTGGGACGAAAGTGGTTTTACAGATAAAAATAGAACTAATTAATAATGGGAATATTTGTTTATAACTTGTTGGTATCTTAGTATAGAAACTGAGATAACATAGTAAAACATAGAGAAAATAGACATTTTAAAAGTTTAAAAAAACGAGAGAACACAAAGTATGAAGAATGCATTTACAGTTAAAGATGTTTACTGCAGCTCACCATTCATTCAAAGTCTGTGCTTTCAGGGAGGTTAAAATGTAGGACATGTAATGAGAAGTGAAGGCACCTTTATTAAAGTTCTTGATAATAGGAACGTAGACAATATAAAATTGTATCAATGTGTTTCACAGATAAAGATTGGGAAGACATAAAAAAGATGCCTGAACATTCAACATTAATGAAAGATTTCAGAAGAAATACGTAAGTTGGCAAGAAAATAGACTGTTGATTTTTGCTTTTCTAGAATACTCAGGATAAGATTGAATACTCAGCATGATAGACTTGACAGAAGACTAGTCTGTTAAATTTTACTTATTTACTGTAATAAATGTTTTTGCATTGCGGTAGTCTTCATTTCTTAAGATGTTTGAATGGTGATACAAGAAGGTAAATATCTAATAGCAGCAACTGATTTGGATATGAAGAAAGAAGTCATTTCATTTCTTTCCATGTTTATTACTTTCGGGAAGCTCTGCATCTGTGAAAGGTATCACAACTGAAGCAGTAAGAGACTCAAACAAACCAACCTTTGCTGGTAGCCACCTGCCTGCTCCTCCTGGGTTGGGTTGTAAGTTTAAGCAATTTTTTTAATAGAGAAGAAGGAATGGCTCATCTGTTTTCACAGCAGGAACAGGGGATTGGGACATGCAGTTTATAGACCTATATGACATATGACAGTGTTTTAAAAATTTGTATTAAGCTTACTAGTAAGGCTGAGTTCAGCTCTTGACCCGTATGTTATTTAAGATCATTGTTGAGATAGCATTCATGTGAACAAAATAGCTAAGCAGTCTGAATGTTATTCATGAAATTTTCTTGCATTTAATCAGTGGTATCCACTTAAAAGTGACTCGTGGGAGTCCTGAATGAAATGTAAAATTGATTTAATACCATTTTCAGTGTATGTTCTGTGTTGGTTATGATTAAAATAATTCTGTTCAGAAAATTTTACCCAATGTAAAATTAATCTCAAATCTAATATAGATATTTCATAGTGTTTCTCTTTCAGGTATACCAACTGCAGCCTTATCAAGTATATGGAAAAACATAAAGTTAAACCAGATAGTAAAGCATTCCACTTGGTAAGTTTTAGAGAACAGTACTAATGAACTGTATTTTTCCCACCTGTTTAACCCAACCTGACTTTTTTGACTCAATTTCTGTGGTTACTCAGTATTCTTAGAGTTCTTTAATAGTAATACTAATGGAGAGTTCTTGTTGGTGTGTACTAGTGATGATACCAAAACCCAAGTTTGACAGCCTTAATGTTTGATTACACTTAATTTTCTAAAGACAGTCATTGAACCAAGTTTGTCACTTTTTTTAAATTCTGTTTATTGGTTTTCACCAGTTATTTTAAAATTTCAAAGAATCAAAATGAAACAGTCTTACTGTTCAGAAATAAGGTTTAGAGATTATTTTTTATTTCAGTCCTTTGAAAGGTTGTTTACAGAATTTTAATTCCCAAGGTGCCGCTTATAAACTTAGCTATTAAAGGTCCATCAGGGATGCTGTGCAAAGTGTGCTTTTTCTGGAAGAGTATGAGAGATGCAGTATGTAGATAGTGCATAGTGGAAAAATGATTTGACCTAGGATCTAACTGTGCACTATCAAGGTGACTTGTGACATTATAGTCAACTGTTGTCAAATTTGTTTACAATGAAATCTCCATTTTTATATTATAGCAATTAAAAATGTTTTTCAGTTTTATGTTTTTCAAAAGAAAGTAATATAAAGGAGGATTGGGGGAAGCATGTTGTATTTTGCTTGGCTTAAAATTCTTTTAATCCTTTTTTCCCAGTATTTTTTAAGTAAGTTCATTAAACGGGAAGTTTTCTACTTTGAAAGGATTAAAATTTCCTTTAGTACCAGGCCACTTGGCAAATATTTTTTCCATTTCTGCTCTTTATTCTTCTACTCTTCTGCTTCTGCAGTAATGTTTTATCATGTCCTGTATCATACATTTCATATCTAATCAGCAACTTAAAAGACTGTGCTCAACTGACCATATTACCACACATTTGTATTATTATCCAAATCATGGCTTCCTATAATATACTTAAGATAGTACCCAAATTGGAAGGTAAGTTAGATCCTTCAAAGTTACGGCCTTATTTATTCTAACAAAATGCTGGTGACAGTGGTAGAGCAGGAGTCCCACTGTAGGGGGATTGCCTTACCACCCGCCCTGCTCACCGCTGTTCAGGCTAGTCTGAGGTCTCTCACCACCCCCACCACTGACACTCCAGAGACCAACTTTCTTTTCCACTCACCTGCTTGTTTTTACTAGAGTAACTGTCTTGCATAGTCCCATCCGAAAGCTCTAATGTAATTTCATTAAACCTGTTGATGAGTGTTTTAAGTGGCAAACCCATGCTTTTCCTTTCAGTTTCAAAATAAAATTGTGCTTCTACTGAAATATCAGCTCATTGAAATTAAACTCTCACCATCTCAGCATTTCATCTGCATTTAAACATATCTTCTGTCCTTTTGTTCTTGATTGTATCATCTCCCACCGTCTCCACATGTTCCGTGGTTTTCAGAGCATGTCCTAGTCCAGCAGAATCAGAGTCATCTGGGGCTGTTAGGAAGTGCTCCCGGGCTGATTCTGGAGTGCTCTGAAGCCTGGAAATCATGGCGTTAGGTCAGAGATTATAAGCCAAGAGACCACCGTTTAGATACTATCTTAAATAACATGTTACCTCAAATGTTCTACTTCATAGAGCCTTCAGTAAATTATATTTCAACCAGAAGCTACTGAATTTTCACACATTAGTGTGACATTTCTGTAAGTAATATTAGTTATGATGATGATGATAGTAATGGCTAAGACTTATATAGTGCTTTCTTTGTGCCCAACACCATTATAATTGCTTTCTACATATTAACTCATTTAATTCTGAAAATAAACTTAACGATAAAAGGTACTGTTTTTAACCCCCCTTTGACAAACAGGGTTACAAAGTGGTTAAGTAACTTGTTTCAAAGTCACTCAGCTAATAAATGTAAGGTCAGGATTTGAAGCCATGCAGCCTCCTTGGCGTCTCCACTCACCAGCACGCCCGTGTACTCTGGTTCTGTGCCAGGCCCCACATCTGTCTGTAGGCTGGTGCGCACTGTCAGCAGAACGCTGTCCAGCAGGGCAGTCCTGAGCCATGTGCGGCTGCCACGCTCTAGAAATGGACCTGATATGACTGAGAAATTGACTTTTAAAGTTTAATTTAGTTTCGATTCATTTGGATTTAAATCTAAATAGCCACATGTGGCTAGTGTATTTATATTTATAAGTTTTCCCTTTAATAGAAAAATAATAACTCGAAGAATTTTAGTCCTGTTCTAAATTGGATATAGCAATTTAGATAATGTAGGGAAAAGATCGTTGGTTTAGAGTAAGAAGACATGAGTTTACTTCCTATAGGAGAACCAACTGAGATAATGAATATTAGAATGACTAAAATGTGAATTATTACATTACATGGAATAATTGGGGAACATGGAGGGGGGAGTTAATTTGGGGCAATAAATGCTCTCCCTCGAGGTATTATTAATATAAAAAAATGCCTCCCACAAATGTGCCACAGGTGTGACTATGAGAAGTAAAACAGTGATGTGTTTATGACTTGTGGTTTCAGCTTCAGAAGTTGCTTACCATGGACCCAATAAAGCGAATTACCTCAGAGCAGGCTATGCAGGACCCCTATTTCCTAGAAGACCCGCTTCCTACATCAGAGTAAGTGATCAGTTTGTTCACTCACCAGCTCCATAGATGGTTTTGGTGCCTGCTTTCCTCTAGTTGTCAGCTCAAGTCACCATCGCTCTTATATGGGGACCCACGGGAATCCTTATGAGAGGCAGAAAGTGAGCTCTGATGACTGAAGTGTCCTCGGGTTTTACAGCTGGCACAGTGCTGGCATCATTTGCCTCTGTCATTTGGTTAGTGACGGGTTGGTTGCACACACTGTCTGCCTCACTGCTTGCAGTTACAGTTGCAAACTCCATCCCCAAGGACATTTGTGTTTCCATTCTTTCTTTCCTTTTAAATGTAGCATGGAGAGTAAAAAAGTTTTGTTTGACTAATCACATTCCTGCCAGAATCTGTCTCTTGTTTGTGATGATAAAAAAGGACCACTGGGATCAAAGAAGAAAGCGGAGTCCTATCGGAGTAGTGTTGATTATTTATACAGTGAGCAGCCCTCCCGTGGCCCGCTGTCATGGCAGTGGTTAGAAGAAGGGACTTGCTGTGTCACAGTTGCATGAAAGATGCTTATTACATCACAGATAGAGGGGTAGAGTCCAGACTAAAAGATGAAAGCAAGAAGCCACTTACATACAGCATTTGAAATACTGGTTAGTATACTGGAAATCCTTTTTCTTTTTCTTTTTTCTTATGATCAGTGTTTTTGCCGGTTGTCAGATCCCTTACCCAAAACGAGAATTTTTAACAGAAGAAGAACCTGATGACAAAGGAGACAAAGTAAGTATTAAAGTATAGTTGGCATCTGGCTTTGTTCAGTGCCCCCATGACTTCTGGCATGGGCATCTTTGGTTCTCCCTCTGAGTTGAGCTGTGTCTCTCTGTTTAACCAATTGAGAAGAACCAGCAGCAGCAGCCGGGAAATAACCACACGAATGGGACCGGCCACCCAGGGAACCAAGACAGCAGTCACACCCAGGGACCCCCGTTGAAGAAAGTGAGAGTCGTCCCTCCTACCACTACCTCAGGTGGACTGATCATGACCTCAGACTATCAGGTACTCGGGCTGTCTCACAGTGACCTGCATGTCAGTACTGCCTGTGGGCTTGTGAGCACTGGGAAATGCGCCGTAGCTAAGAAAAGACCCGCCCGTGTGTGGCAACACATTGACAGAAAGAGCTATGGGCGTGGAAGGTGCCCGGTGGTACAGTAGAGGGGGCTTAGCCAGACGTGGGGTGATTGGACCTAAATTGTGCCGTTGGTTGGCTCTTTGACCCTGGACACGGCTTTAGTTTCTCGTCTGTATCATGAGCCGGGCTCACCTATCCTGCCGCTGCTGTGGGGGCGGCTGTGGTGACCCTCAGCATCTGGCTCATGGGGGTGCTCAGGAAGTGGTGGGTCTCGTTTCTGCAACCCCATCCAGCCTCAGGGGGTTGGTTCAGATCTTCTCAGTGTCTTCATTTGTCGGGTGTGGGTGATGGTCAGTGTGAGGCTGTAGTCAGGATGAGATGAGACAGTGTGAGCTAACGGCAGTGGCCGGCCAGACCAACAGTCATTTGATAGATGACACCAGTCACTGTGTTCATTATTATTATCGTCCTTAAAACTCTTAGTAGTGTTCACAGTGCGCGGTGAGTACTTGCTAAGTGTTGGTGGTGGTGCTGAGGGGGTGACGCGGTCATAGGAAGAGCTTGTCGAGACTTAGGTGTGCAGCTCCTCTGTCCGTGTGGGACAGACCTTCCTTCCTCCAAGCAGTATGGTAGCTGTGAGGTAAGCGTTACTGGCAGGAAATTGGGGCTCTCGGAGGTTGAGCCCCTTCCCTCGCTCACGCCTCGGGCCGGGGTGGACTCAGGACGCAGACTCAGACCTGCTAGGAGGCTCCCTGTGCGTTCTCTGCAGTGACAACAGCAGACAGACCCGTTTTTGAAAACTGTATTCCTTGTTCTGAACCTGTTCCCATATGGTCTGGATTCAGTGTGGAAGTGTACTGAAAACTTGACCCATGAGAATTATTTACCTACTGAAAGAGATTGTAATAAATGGATAAGGCTCCCAGAGCTTGCGGCTGCACGTCAGGAATTAGATCAGAGCTCTTCACATGGTTCATGGGGGGTGCAGCCTAGCAAGCCCTGGGGTTGAGTGGTGACTTTCCTGCGGTGAGCTCAGTGAGCAGGGGTCTCCAAGGCAGGCATCTTGCGAGCTCATGGTTGCTGCTCCCCTCCCCACCTGGGAGGCGAGCGCGTCTCCGGCACACGGGTGTGTTTGCACACAAGGTGCGCATCCTGAGCAGGAAGCGGGGGGTGGGGGTGGGGGTCTCTAACCTTTGCCAAGGAAATGCTCCTGTGTGTCTGTTTGTTGACATTACTGTGGTGGTTTTTATGAGTGATTTCAAAACTAGTATTTCTGACTAGTTTTACATGTCCACTCTCTTTAAAATGTTGTTTTTGCTAGGGTTCGCAGAATTTCAAGTTATATGATTTATTAGATATCTCTGAAAGAGGAAAGTATTAAATTATAGTTAATCTTCTGTAGTGTTTGTTTTGGGGAGCCAATAGCATGAGAGAGACGTGCAGGGCTGAGAATATAACCTATTGGAACTAGAGATGTTTGAACTCTGCCTCTTCTGCTGCCTCTAGAATTGAGAATACCACTCTTCCTGTATTTCAGTAGCTATAGCTTTGCCTTTGTATATCGCTTGTGGCTGAAAAACAAGATTCACTAATTTATAGGGCATAAAGATATCTAATGCTGAAGAAGTAATTCTCTGGTTTCCTTTCTTGTCATGTTCATTTTTTATTCTTCAGTCATGCATGGGTGTTGAGAGTTTTCTATTGAAGAAACAAGTATGTAGATTAGCTTTGAATTTCTTCTTTGTATACATCACTGAGTTCAAGAGTAAGTGTCCCAGACAAATTATTTATCAGGTAGATACGAAATAGCATGAAAGGGCGTTCCTATTAATAGAATGAACCACGCAGCACAGGAGTAAGACTCACTTTAGTGTTATTTTATTAGCAGTACTTCTGACCTTCATAAAGAAAGGCTAACCCTAAAAGATTTTAAGGGTTTTGCCATTTTAATTCTAAAGCCAGTACCTAGCACAGGACCTTTAAAGTTCTTACTGCCGTAAAATAAGTGACAATACTGCCATAAAGTAAGTGACATTTCAAACACACAGAAGCCTTGCTGGCCTGGGGTGCAGCCAGCCCACAGCAACACCGAGTCATGTCTCCTCCTCTTCTGCTTTTCCAGCGTTCCAATCCGCATGCTGCCTACCCCAACCCCGGACCAAGCACATCACAGCCGCAGAGCAGCATGGGGTACTCAACTACCTCCCAGCAGCCTCCACAGTACTCCCACCAGACACATCGGTACTGAGCTGCATCGGACACTGCCCATGCACTGCCGCTGTGCCGCAGGCCGCCTGCAGCTCTCAGCGGGAGCCTGGGATGGGCCATGAGAATGTACTGTGCAGCCACGTAGTCAGATGTCCAGTAGCCAAGTTCCACCGCTTTTCACAGATTGGGGTAGTGGCTTCCATGTTGTTGCTGTCTGGAGTTAGGCTTGAGAGGAAAGTGCTAGCACAGTTTGTGTTGTGGGTTTGCTACTTCCATAGTTTACTTGACATGGTTCAGACTGACCAATGTTTTTTTTTCAGTGACAGTCTGTAGCAGTTGAAGCTGTGAAACGTGCTAGGGGCAAGCATTTGTCGTCATATGTGGTGAATTCTTCCAGTGTAACAACATTATCTGACCAATAGTACACACACACACACACAGAAGTTTAACTGGTACTTGAAACACACAGTATACATTAACTCAACGAAGTAACCAAGACTCAACGTGAGATTATTTCGGTACACCTTTCATTTCAGTGTCTTATCAGTGGGTTGATTATTTTCTACATTAATCAGTGTTCTTTGACCAAGAATATTGCTTGGATTGTTTTGGAAAGTACAAGAAGCCACATAGTTTTTCCAGGAAAGTTTCAAAACTCCCAAAGATTAATTTCCAACTTTTGAGTTTGTTTTTATTTTCAATCTATGACTTGACTGGTATTAAAGCTGCTATTGATAGTAATTAAATATGTTGTCATTGATATAAACCTGTTTGGTTCAGCAAACAAACTAAAATGATTGTCATAGACAGTGTTTTATTTTTCCTGTTGGTGTTGCTGATTTGTGAGCATGCTTTAAGATGAAAAAAGCATGAATGATAACTTCCTTAAAAAGGTGCGGCATCCGATTCAGATATTTTGTCCTGATTTTAAAGCTGGTTGGTGTAGTGCTACTAAAATTTTGTTCAGTTCATTCTCTTTTTTTAAAACTTGTTCGCACGTTGTTTAGGGTGCCCTTACTTCAGCAAAGGAGAAGGAGTAGGAGAGCCTTAGAATTTTTGAGGAAAAAAGAAAACCTATAACATACAATGTACTGTATCAAACTATTTTACATGAATGACACAAGTATTCTGAATTTAAAAAAATTGAACATTGTTAAAAACAAGGTGTTATGTAATAAATTTATTTTTCATAAATCAAAATATGGAGTCAACTGTATTTTTATGTACACACAGGTGTTTTATTTTAAAAATGTGCCCTAACAAGTGGCCTCCAAGGAAACCTTTTCAGGTGTTTTCATTGATAGTATCTGTATCTTCTGCCTCCACAATGAAGTGGTGGCCTAAGGTTTAGATACAAATTCATTTCTCTGTTACACTTAGTGCAATAATAAAGATGTTAAAGACATTATCATGAGCCTTCCCTTTCTAGAATAATGCCAAAATCTGTGTTATGCTGAGCCCATTTTGTTTTATCCCAAATAATTATTTGAGAGGGAGTACCTCCTTCACAAAATACAGAAAATTAATAAGCTAACATATTCTCTTCTTTAAAACTCAATGCATTGAAATACATTCTAGAACACTTTAAGAACTGAGGGATCCTGAGTGGCCTGACCCTCATGGGAAGGATAATCTTTGGAAGCTAAGTTTGTGTTTCCGTGTTAGCTCTTCATCACACAAGGGACAGGTCTGAGAACAGGGCCCCCGCCTCTGGGTCAGCTCCATAGACCTTTTGCCTGAATTTCCCTTCCTCTCTGATTGTCTTCTGTTTTTTTCTCCCTGCCCTCAGTGCCATGCTTTTCAAACTCATGCACGCAAGAATCGTCGAGAGCTTTCTGTCTTAGGCCTGGTACCTGAGGTTGATTCGGTAGGCTTGGGTGGAACATAGAGTCTTCGATTTTAACCAGGTCCCCAGTTGGCTCTGATGCCCCTGTTGAGGGTTGCCGAGGAAGGAGAATGCCCCCAGACTGCTCTAAAGCCTGGGCGAATGTAGCAGCTAAGTGACTCGGAGAGAAGGCTGCACCACTGTCTTTTCCTCCTGCATGAACTTCAAAAAGCCAAACCCACGGCAACAAGTTCCTTTCTGGGTGCTGGAAACTCCGTGGACGCGGGTCTCGCATGCCTTCATTCCTTTATCAGCCTCGGTTCTCCGGGTGGTGCTGCCCAGGCCTGCCGGTGTCCTCCCCAGGCTGCAGGTTTTTGTACTTGGTTGCGTCTGTGACAGGTGATACACATGCCCGCCGCAGTTCTCTGGCTGGCCCCCTGGCCCCATGTCTCTGTACAGCACCTCTGACACATAGCTGTTTTCTGTCCTTTCCCCCTCCATCCCAGGCCTCCCCTCTTCACACTTGCTCCCTGGCTGCAATGCCCAGATGTCCACCCTAGACCTCACTGGCACATCTGAGCTGTTACTAGGTTCCCTCTGGACTGAGCACATCCAAGTGCAGACTCCCACCTCCACTGACCCGCCTGCACCTCCGCCTGACCGGGATCCTCCCGCCCAGTTGTCTGGGCCACACGGCAGCCTTGGCACATCTTCACACACACGCACACCCACTTGTGAGCCCTGTCCACCCCACATGCGACTTTTCCTGCAGGGACTCCCAGCCGACACCTCCTCCCCTCCCTTGCACCCCCAGTCTTCTCTGCTCACCCCCTCCAGACGGCCAGACCCCTAACTGTCCCCACCAGGCCCCGCATGTCCTCCCGCGTGTCCCCTGCCCCGTCACCCGCCTCCAGCTCCACTGTGGTCCTGGCTGTCCCTGGAGCCTGCCTCACGGGTGTCATCTCGAGACTTTGACACTTTCTGTTCCACTGCATCTGTCTTTCCCCAGCTTCTTGGCTTTCTCCCTCACTTCTCTGAGGTCAGCTCGAATTGTACCTTATCAGAGGCTCCCCTCTCCCCCCACTCCTCACTTGCTCTCTGTATAAAACTTAGCCTGTCCCTGCCTTCTCCATCAGCCAGCATCCCGACCCCTTGGCGTGGCTTTGTTTTCCTGCATCGCACTTAGACCATCACCAACACATACTTGTGTCATGCTTTTTCTACTCAAACATAAACTCTACAAAGACAGCTTTTTTTTTTTCAATAGAAGTATAATCAGCACACCCACTGTGTAAAATTGAAGTGTACAGTCTTTTGATTGAATGCCCATGAGCCCACCTGTATGACATACTGGAAGAGGCAGAAGCATGAGGTCAGAAAACAAAACTGTGGTCGCCAGGAGCAAGAGTGAGAAAGGGGTTTGTTTTGGGGGGTTTTTTTCTTCCAACTTTTGGCTGCCACCTGTGGGATCTCAGTTACCCAACCAGGGATTGAACCCACGGTCTCTGCCTTGGAAGCGCAAGTCTTAACCACTGGACCACCAGGCGAGATCGGGGTTGACCACAAAAGGACATGTGGGGGTTTCTTTGGGTGATGAAACTGTTCTGTGTCCTGATTTCTGCAGCACAAGTGAACGTGAAAACCTGCAGAACTGAGCAGGTGAATCTTAGTAGTTATAAATTTTTCCTTAATAAAAAAATAAATAGAAGGGGGAACAAAAAAGACCAACAAACCTAGTGTTGGCAGGGATAAAAAACAACTGGAATTCTCATACATTACTGGTGGGAATATAAACTAGAACAGTCACTTTGGAAAACAATTCAATGGTTCCTTATAAAGTTAAACGTATACTTACCATATGACCTTGGAGTCGCACTTTAGTTATTTAACCAACAGAAATCAAAGCATGTCCACACAGTAGCCTGTAGATACATGTTCAAAACACATTTATATTATAGCCCACAAATAGATGTCTGTTTATAGAGGAATAGATAAATAAATGGGAGAAAAGTGTAAACAGTGACAAATTTTATTTTCTTGGGCTCCAAAATCACTGCAGACAGTGACTGCAGCCATGAAATTAAAAGACACTTGCTCCTTGGAAGGAAAACTGACCTAGACAGTGTTTTCAAAAACAAAGAGATCACTTTGCTGGTAAAGGTCCACAGTGAAAGCTGTGGTTTTGCCAGTAGTTGTGTATGGATGTGAGAGTTGGACCATAAAGAAGGCTGAGTACAGAAGAATTGATGCTTTTGAATTGTAGTGCTGGAGAACTCTTGAGAGTCCCTTGGACACCAAGGAGAAAAAAACAGCCAATCCTAAAGGAAATCAACCCTGAATATTCATTGGAAGGACTGATGCTGAAGGTCTAATACTTTGGCCACCTCATGCAAAGAACTGACTGATTGGAAAAGACCCTGATGCTGGGAAAGACTGAGGGCAAGAGGAGAACAGGTTGGCAGGGGATAAAATGGTTAGGTAACATCACCAACTCAATAGACACGAATTTGAGTAAACTCCAGGAGATAATGAAGGATGGGAAGCCTGGTGTGCTGCAGTCCATGAGGTCACAAAGAGTCAGACACGACTTAGCGACTAAACAACAAAAACAAGATAAATTCAGTGAAGTAAAATATTCAGCAATAAAAGTGAGCATTTGGTAGAATCTTGATTGTATCGTGATTCTGTGTACACATTATACATTTTTCAAAATGCATCAAAATACAGTTCAAATTGGTGATTTGTATATCAATTGCACCTTAAACTTGACTTAAAACCCAGTATTTGTAAACCTTTTAACACATACCAAATTTATAAGCATACATTAAATGTTAATTATTATCAGTGTCCTCTCCATATGGAAATACGGTTTTTTTCTTAAGACTTATAATATGACCTAGTTCTCACAGGTAAGTTAAACTTGAAGTCCTTTCATGACCAGTCATTTCCTCACCTCATGAATCAGAGTAGAGTGTTTAAAAGAGCAGACGTGGAGTTAGTGCGTCAACGATTCCAAGGCCAAAATTATATAAAGATCCCCCTGAATTCAATTTTCATTATGAAAGTTTTATTTTTTAAGTCCGCAAAGACTAGGGCTCCAACTTTTCTGAAATATTACTGAACAGGACTTCCCTGGCGGTCCAGTGGTTAAGACTCTACACTTGCAATGCAGGGGTGCAGGTTCCATCCCTGGTCAGGGAACCAAGATCCCACAT